ATGTTTTACTCCTTTCCAAAATACATTTGGTGACTCATTTCTCAACTATAGGTGAGAGATGATACTAATATAACTGGTTTGGGATGGGTCTGTAGAATCCTCCCAGGGAGGAGATGTGAAACCTCTTAGGATAGTTTTTTGCCAAATTTCTTTATTTAGTTAGTTCATTGGCTGTTTAGTAAATCATTTTTGACCAACTGAGCTAAAGAACATGTTGAGACTCTCTTTTATCCTGAGCATGCTTGTGTTTAAAGTCTATATTTCTCCCAATATGAGCACACAGGGAATGACTGAATGCCCTCTCAATATTAGTCTTCGGTTTTGAAATGGTATTTCCAAATGCATTGCAATCTGAGATAAGGAGATGTGAATTATGTTACTTCTCATGAGTGTAGTACATTTCACTTACTACTTTCAGAATCCTAGTAAAAAAAGAAAAAGGTAGTTTATGCTTACTTAAAAAATAAAGCATGAATCAAATAAACAAAAGGAACTATTATAATATCACTTTTGTGATGAGAAAGGGGGCAATGGAATTCAACAAAAGCAAAGAAAACTATACCTGGAGAAAAGAAAAGTAACCAGGAAACACCTTGGGGCCGCTGCCAGACCAATGGTACTGTGGAAAAGAGCCCTTCCCTAAGAGGACTGCCAGGGCAGACCTACCCTGCTTCTCATGTGTATAGTTAGTTATAACTCATGTGTATAGTATTTTAGTTTCCAAACATGTTCACACAACCATTTCCTTTGATTCTTGAAAACAGCCCTGTGAGTTTGGTGGGGCAAGTGCTCTTAGTGAGTATGTGACTTTGTCAAATCACAAATCAGCAAACCTGTACTGGGCTGTGGTAATGGATTCATTCCCTGCTATTTAGCCCCAAATACTGCACTCCTCAAAGTGTGGTCTCAGGACCAGCAGCATCAGCATCACATGGGATATTGCTAGAAATGCAATTACAAACTGTGGGTTTAGGGCCCAGCAGCCAAACCCTCCAGATGATTCTGATACGTGTAAAGTTTGAGAGCCCTATTCTACGCAGACGTCTGATGCACGTAAAGTTTGAGAGCCCTATTCTACGCAGACGTCTGATGCACGTAAAGTTTGAGAGCCCTATTCTACGCAGACGTTTGAGTGACTTTAGTATTAGGCAAAATGATGTTAGTTTTTCATAGTTGTGGTTTTAAAGTTTTCTCTACCTCTTCCCCTACTTTCTAGTCTTGGGATTTGGGGTAGGTTACTTAACCTGCTCAGTGATTTTAATGGATGGATAATAATAGTGTCTTCCATGCCCAGAGTCCTACAGATGTGATATAGTTATGAGTTAGCTTCCATTATTTATAGAGTTAAGTCTTAGGGCAAGCTTGAGTTTGTTAGTTTTTAGTTTGAGGAGTGACTTAAATTTAACTTACTGAGTTTGCAGAACTCATAATTTCTAAAACTGCTAAGAAACAAGTGGTGGGGTGCTAGAGCCAGCTTCTGCATACTTCCCAACTTGAAATTGGTCATGTGGGGCAGTCTACACCATAGACATTAATAAATACTAAAATTAGGGCTTTTGTTCCCAGAGAGCTGGTTATCATCATACCTTAGATTATGCTCAGATTACATGAAGAATCATCTGCATCTTTGCTGGATCTGATGGTTCACATTCATCCTCATTTAAGGCTTGTTATACAGATCAGCATTAGAATATGTATATTTATGTATATAATTGTTATTATGGAAGTCAGATTCACCCTATAGACATCTTCTGTTGACCTGCAGTTTGTTTTTAAAAAATGTTAAATTAGGTGTCAGCATTTAAAAATTGGAAGGTTTAACATAAAAATCTAAATTTCTTACTCTTCAAAAGTAGGGTCATGTGGACCTGGGGCACATGGACCCCCATTGCCACATGGCAACAATGAGCTAGAGGTGAATTATATATTTTTTTATTGATTGATTTATTCATTCTTTTTTTTGAGACAGAGTCTCACTCTGTCACCCTCAGTAGAGTGCTGTGGTGTCATAGCTAACAGCAACCTTAAACTCTTAGGCTAAAGCAATCCTCTTGCCTCAGCCTCCCAAGTAGCTGGGACTACAGGTGCCCACCACAATGCCTGGCTATTTTTTAGAGGGGAGGGGTCTCACTTTTACTGGGGTGGTCTCAAACCTGTGAGCTCAAGCAATTCACCTGCTTCGGCACAGCGCCAGACCAACTGGAGGTGAATTTTAATACATGCAGGTTGTCTTTGCTGCAGTGCCCATCATTCTGTGATTTTACTTCTAGTCAAGGGCTTCAGGCCTTTGTTTTCTTAGTGTCTTCTTTAGGCATTTGAATTTGTGACCCCTGTTATAAAGAAAACCAAGTCCAGGGAAAGGGTGTTTCTCTGAGCTGAAATCTTAACATTTAAGCTTTCTACAAAGTTAATTCAGATGTACTAACAAACTGCAAAGCCTGAGGATTAATTCCCAATTTGTCCTGAATTTAAAATGTCCTATTTAAAAATCTAAGTAGCAGTGACTCATTGCCTGTATTTGAGAGCCTATACTTTTTCCTGGATGGCAAAAACTTGAAATGTCTCTCTAGGTCTCGGTAAAAGTGACTAATACCTTTGTTTCCCAGTCTGTGTTTGCATGACCTCAGGTTTCATAAATATCTATCCCTCAGTAAAATGTGCAGAGAGATGTTTGTTTGCTACTTGCACTTTATTTGAGAATGATTTGGGGGAGAAAGATTGATAACCTTTCCTTTCAAATCAGAGTTGTACGTGCTTAGTTTATTTGCCTGGGCAGGTTTTTTATATTTTTTCCCTCCAGCGTAGTTTCAGAATGTCCAGCTGGATAGACTTTGTCTGTGTTTGTGGTGTTAGCTCTGGGCTTTGCTGTCAATATTGTTGATGAACATCTGATTAATTTTTAAGCCAGTTGATCTATGTTCCAAGACTGACTGATGAAATTGCTACTTTTTAGTTTGGGATGATCCAGGACATAATAACTTTTCCTGTTCCATTTAATAAATGTTTATTAAATAGTTATGACGGGAATAACTTCAAGGATGGTGCTAGGGACAGCAATGAACTGGAAAAGAAGCCAAACTATGACCAGTGGTGTAAGAGCACTGGAATCAGGAAGGATAGAGATGGCATTTACACTGCTGTGCCCTGCTGTTGGTTTTCAAATCTGCAAGTAGTTTCATATTTATATTATTGTCTCCTTACGTGCATAATCACATGTATCTCATCCAAAAGTTTCCCTTGGTAAAAAGTGAAATGTTTGGAACCATTTATGGATAGATTTGTGTCATCATCAAGTGTCACTTGGGGTGCTTATTTCTGTATATCAAGAATACATCCTCTCCAGCTCGGCGCCTGTAGCACAGTGGTTATGGCGTCGGCCACATACACCGAGGCTGGCAGGTTCTAATCTGGTCTGGGCCAGCTATACAACAATGACAACTGCAACCGAAAATAGCCAGGCATTGTGGTGGGCGCCTGTAATCCCAGCTACTTGGGAGGCTGAGGAAAGAGAATCACTTAAGCCCAAGAGTTTGAGGTTGCTGTGAATGTGAGCTGTGATGTCACATAGTGAGAGCGACATAGTGAGACTGTCTCAAAAAAACAAACTTCCTTTCCAAAAAAAATACTTTCACCAACTAACAAAACACTTTTTCTTTCTTTTTTTTTTTTTTTTGCGACAGAGTTTCAAGCTGTCCCCCTCAAGCATCACAGCTCACAGCAACCTCCAACTCCTAGGCTCAAGCGAGTCTCCTACCTTCACCTCCCAAGTAGCTGGGACCACAGGCACCTGCCACAACGCCTGGCCATTTTTTTGGTTGCAGCCGTCATTTTTGTTTGGCGGGCCTGGGCTGGATTCGAACCCGCCACCTTAGATGTATGTGGCTGGCGCCTTAGCCACTTGAACCACAGGTGCCGAGCCCACAAAACACTTTTTCTAGGATGAGTTTGTGAACTTAATTGTTTGTTCTCACACATTATTATCATGTCATCTTCACAGCAACACTACACACTTATTATTCCCACTTTACAGATGAGGAAACTGAGGTTTGAGATGTGAATTGCCTCAAATCCTTTAGTTAAGTAAGTTTTCGAGTTAGAATTCAAAGTCAAGTCTGTTGAACTACAAAGCCCAAGCCTGGGAAAAGGGTAGTTGGGCTTTGTGGGCTCAAAAGGGACTCTTCCTAGTTCCTAGTCTCTCTGGACCTCATGCTCTTTCAACATGTGTAAGATCCTTGATGCTTTCTGAATAGTCTTACTCTGCTCATCCTGCAGGAGAACCCCCATCTTGTTACATCGTATATTAGATTCCTGTGGCTGCCATAACAAAATACCACAAATGGGGTGATTAAAACAACAGAAATTTATTTGCTAATAGTTCTTGAGGCCAGAAGTATGAAATCAAAACATTGTCGGGGCCATTCTTCACTGGCTCTTGGGAGATTTCATTCCTTGCTTGTCCAGCTTTCGGATGCTGTTGGCGTTCCTTGCCTGTGTGCAGCTCTCCAGTCTCTGCCTTTGCCTTCTTGTGGCCTTCTCCGTGTCTTTCTAGTCATTCCTATGTGTCTGTGTGCCTGGCATTGATTTCAGGGCCTACTCTGATAATCCAGGCTGATAATCCAGGATGATCACTTCATTTCAAGATTCTTAACTTCATTATATCTGCAAAGACCTTTTTTCTAAATAAGGATGCGTTTGCAGGTCCTGGGAACTAGGGCAGGGTGTATCTCTCAGAGGCCATCATTCAACCATTACACATGCAGGTAGATGCTTTCCCAGCAACCAGCAGGCTCGTGTCTTTTAGCCTGTACCGGGGGCAGATTTGCTATCTGGTAAAGGCTTTTCTTTCACTGGAGTGGCTGATTATCAACAAAATTTCAGTTTGTAGGTTTGGAGGTGTTTCTAGGCCTTGAACGTGAATAACCCGATCTTAAACCCAGCTAGAGCCTCTGGGGCTTCTCGTAGGTGGTCATGCTATCTCACAAGATTTTGTTTTCTTTCAGATTGCTGACCTGCAGCTGCATAAACTGGATGAACTGGACTGTCTGATTCAGGGCCTGCTTTACGTCGACTCTGTTGGCTTCAATGGCAAGCCGGAACGTTACTATTTTGAAAATCCCACAAATCCTGAATTGTGTCAAAAAAAGCCGTACTGCCTTGATAATCCATACCCTATGTTACTGGTTAACATGGGCTCAGGTGTCAGCATTCTAGCTGTGTACTCCAAGGACAACTATAAAAGAGTTACAGGGACCAGGTAAACATGTTTTCTACGACGAGAACCTTTTTGTGTTTAAACTTAGGCCTCTTCCTTGATGACTACTTTATAGTAAAAGGTTATTTTTATTGATTACATTTTTAAAAGAAATATCATGGCCGTCAGTCAACCAAATAGAATTTGTTGAATGACATGTAGTAATAAGGAGGGTGATTTATATAAAGGTTAATAAAACATAGTCTTTGCCGTAATGGAAACTATGGTCAGGTTGAGGGAAGAAAGGTTGTACACATCAGAATGTTGCCAACGAGTAGGTCTATACTCAGTGCCAGAAGAATAGCAGGGACAAACAGCACAGTAGAATTCAGATGGGAAGATGCTTAGGATGGTCAGAGAGGGCTTCAGAAGAAACTTTCTTATAGAACCTTCCTGATGCCCAGCACAGGATGACTTGTTTGAAATAATACATTCCTCCAACCAGCAAACCAAACTGGGTTTACAAAGAATGTTTTTTCTCCCTCAGGTAAATGTTCCAGCTGAAAATTACAATAGTCAACACACCTCCCAGGAATTTTGGAATGCTGTGGGCAGGAAAGCAGCCCTGTGGCCTCAGTGGGGCAGAGGGCTTGTTTTTCTGTGCACCTGCCCAAGGCCCTTGTGGGACAAATAGGCCCGGCTTCCCATTAGTGGGGAGTCAACACGGGGAAAGGACCAGGGGTCAGTTACCTTTCAAGACTTCCCAGTGTAAACAAAATTAAACAGTCTCCTTACTTCAAAGAGGAAGATTTGGTATAAAGTATTTCTCTAACTTATTGGAGGGACAACTTAAGAAACTAGTGTTGTGTACAATGCGCTTTGGTCCTGATGTTGAAATTACTGTTTTTGATAGAGGAAGATACCTTCCTGGGGTCTCATTATTCTCATTTCTGCCATTAAAGGGGATTGTTTCTATAAAGTTGACTTCATAAGACTTTCCAGTACCAAAATTCTACAGGACTATTTACCCACAGGAGGACAGCACTGTTTTTCCAGTGTATTTCCATGACTTGAGATAAATCAGTGGTTTCCTGCTTAGGAGAGGAAGACTTTTTTGGAGGTGGGATGCTACTGGCATCTACTGAGTTAAGGATACTGCCAAAATCCTGCAGCTCCTCGATAACAAAAAATTATTGAGCCTCAAATGTCAGCAGTGCTGCTGTTGAGAAGCATATGCACATACACACACTCACGCACATACACATGTTCTGACAGAAGCCTGCTGGGCTCAGAGTGTAGGTTTTGCTGTGTGAGTCATTTTGCTACTAGATACACATGTTATCACTGGGAATCCAGAAGCTTGCTTGTTCACACAAGAATCTAGGAATACTACTGAACACACTTGCTCATGTAAGAATGGCCTCATTAGGATTGTCAGAGTGTCAGAGACATTAACATTTCAGCTGATCTGGTTTTACCTTTGAGAGTGTTCTCTTGAAAAAGGTATCTAGTTTTTAAGAAACAATAGACTTCCTCCCAGAAGGAGTAATTGAATTGGTAAAGCTAGTCCCAAGGTAACAACAAGCTAAACATTTCTCACAATTAGAGATATTTACAGTTTTATTGATTAGTACTTATCAATTTCATGACTTCCATTACAGGCATACTTTCTCACACTTGGAAGCCCCCAGGATCTGGGTTATCTTCTTGAATAGCTGCTCAGGAGCTAATTATGGTATTTGGTTATTACACAAGTAGTAGTGTCTATAAATTCCCAATGTTGGTAAATGCCCATTAATGACCAGTGTTGTGCAATCATCAATAAATTCTGGTTATCTAATAAACTCTCTGTTCAATCATTTTGGAAGATGCTGAAGGTACTTAGGAAGCCCTTGCAGGGACTACCACAGGTAGGGCAGGGCAGTGAAACATCAAATATATAGGGCCCAGATCCTTATCCAATCAGAGTTGTTTTTGTCAAAGATTTTTTTGATTCAAGTTAGAAAATCTCTGGCATTAACCATTACAGTTAGCAGGGAACATCAGCTTATGGAGCAAACTTTAGGAACCATTGATCTAACAAAGGGTGTAAGCCTTAAGTTTTAATACTCCTTCTATAAACTGATATAATTCCAGGATTTTTGTTAATTGTATTATACTGATTTTCCCATTAAGTATTTTTAAGAAGCCACTTTATTACAGGATACCAGCTTCCTTTTAAACATGCTTTTAAATGGTTTGTTTCAGTGTCGTGTGTAATTTTTTTGCATCCTGGGTTACATAGCAACATCTTTTTTGTAGTGACATCACTCCAATTTTATTATAGAAGTCAGTGGGGAAAAGGTTACTTTAGAGCTGACATGGTTAGAATGTTTTGTCTGTTAAAAGAGGGATGTAAGGAATTTTGAAACTTTGGTGAAAGTAGCAGTACATCTCATCTTATGTTGGAACCTTATTTTAAGGACACGAGTGCTCAGTTACTAAAGTCTTCTCTTTCTGCATCCCTCACTGCAATGTTGGTCGTTTGTTTTGTTTTGTTTTCAAACGATGAAAATATTCAATGGCTTTTTCTAGCAATGTTTTTGTCACTGATTTACTGAAGGTTTTACTGTGTGCCTGCCAACACAAACATATTATCTGGTTCTGAGCAAGGAAATCACTTGGTTAAAGAGTGCCGAGCAGGGTGAGGATGTTAGTAAAGTGATGGAGACTGTGGCTCCTCTGCAGCTGAGCACCCTCTCCTCCTCCCTGCAGTGTGCCCACTGTGCAGATGCATGCTCGCTTTCCCATTCAGCTTCAGCTCTTTGTCTGGAGTCACCTGCCCTTTTCCAATCATATAAGGCACTTGCCCTTTTTCACTTCTACCAACACATCAGTTGCTGAGTTACCTTCTTTCTGAGTCAGCCAGTGTCTTCGGTTGCCTATCTTTGAAGTGGGTTGTTGAATGCCTTGATTGATACAAATACTTAATGGGCAAAGAAAAATTCTTAGGGGGGTGAAAGATATTTAGGAGCTAGAAATGGGAGCCCAGAAGTCTTTTTAAAACATATACAGGGAGAAAAAAACAAATCCTGATTGCAGACAAAGCAAAAAGTGTTCCCATGCTAGCATTGTAGGGTAGGCTGAAACTGGCAGCGTACCCTGACATCCCACGTTACATGTAAACAAAGATAAAATTCTTAGAGGAGGGCCACAATTTCTACTGGGACTGAATTGTCAAGGTAATAATAGGCATGGAGCACTTTGTTTCTCATGGTGTTGCACCTACAATTTACGTAGCTGCTGCTCAGGGTGCCTAGCTACGTAATTTTCCATGAGAACCCATAATTTCAATCGTGTGTAAGACTATTCCATGCAGTTCACTTTGCAACTTAAAGAACTGTGTGCCTAAGAATCTGGTAGCTTCTACTAAGAACCTGGTAACTTCTTATTAGACAGTTTTGAAAATAAACACAATTTACTCTAAGTTTTCTTTCTTTTCTTTTCTTTTCCTTTTTTTTTTCTTTCTTTGAGACAGGAGCTCGCTCTGTTGCCAGGCTGCAGTGCAGTGGCATGATCATAGCTCAGTGTAAGCTTGAATTCCTGTGCTCAATTCAATGACCTCCTGCCTCACCTGTCGAAAGTGTCATTTTTCAAACTTACATTAATCCCAACTTGATTTTTTTTTTCTTAGATTTAAAAGCCAGTGCCTAAACACCAATTGGATTCTTAGAGCTAGTAGCTCTTTGGGGTTTCAGAACAGACTGATAAGAGCAACTCTCCTATATTTATTCTTCCACATGTTAAATAAAGAGACAAACTTATGTCTGTAACTTTAGGAAACAGTGCTCCTTTTCCTGTCTGGAGTTCACTGGTCATGGCTTTATTCTGAATCTACTTTTCTTTCCATTATGTGACTTTAATATTAATACACAATTGCATTCATTGATATTACTATTTTTTTAAACTTATTTTTAGACAGAGGCTCACTCTGTCACCCTGGGTACAGTCTTGTGGCATCATCATAGCTCACACCAAACTCAGTTTCTTTACCTCAAGTGATCCTCTTGTTAGCTCCGCACCCATAGCTCCGAGTGGTTAGGGTGCTAGCCACAAACACTGGGGTGGGCAGGTTCGAACGGGGCCCAGGCCAGCTAAACAACAATGACAACTACAACCAAAAAGTAGCCGGGCATTGTGGCAGCGCCTGTAGTCCCCGCTACTTGGAAGGCTGAGGCCAGAGAATAGCTTAAGCCCAAGAGTTTGAGTTTGCTGTTAGCTATGACGCCATGGCATTATACCAAGGGTGACATAGTGAGACTCTGCCTCAAAAAAAAAAAAAAAAAAACAGAAAAAAGAAGTGATCCTCTTGCCTCAGCCTCCCAAGTAGCGGGGACTACAGGTGCCTGCCATGATGCCCAGCTAGTTTTTTCTATTTTTAACAGAGACAGGGTCTTGTTCTTGCTTAGGCTGGTCTTGAACTCCTGAGCTCAAGTAATCCACCCAGCTCAGCCTTCCAGAGTACCTTGATTATAGACGTGAGCTACTGCGACCAGTCCCATTCATTGATATTAATACCTAGTTGCATTCATTCTTGTCTACTATATTAGTTTCTAATTTTGTCTGAAAAGACTATCTTAGAAAAACTCTCTCCAAAGCAATTAAAAGCTTTTAAAACATTACTCAAACACTGAGACCATTTATTGGCTTTTGTTGCTATTTTTTACTATTGGGTGTTATGTAAAATATTAATAACGTTTTCTTTCTTTTCTATTTTTTTTTTTTTTTTTTTTTTTTTGGAGACAAGAGTCTCACTATGTTGCCGTGGCATCACAACTCACAGCAACCTCAAACTTTTGGGCTTAAGCGATTCTCTTGCCTAAGACTAAAGGCACCAGCCATAGTATCTGACTATTTTTTGGTTGTAGTTGTTATTGTTGTTTGGCAAGCCCAGGCTGGGTTCAAACCTACCAGCTCTGGTGTGTGTGGCTGGTGCCTTAGCCGCTTAGCTATAGGCACCAAGCCAACTTTTTCAAAATCTATTGGAAAAAAGTTCACTAGCAGAATAGGTCCGCAGTTTTCTTCTAGAATTCTGAGAAAACTAAATGAGACTATCTCTGCTAGACAAGGAAGATCAGGTGAAAGACATCTTCAGGGCTGGCTACTCCTGGCAGAGTCCTAGGTCAGTTTTTTTGATTGGATGGTTTAGCTGAATAGCTATAAACTATACTTTATGTACACATGCCTTGTATTTCTAAGTATTTGTATTCAACTGCATGAGGATTTTTAACAGCAGTCATTTCTTGGATGTTTGCTACTTTCAGACCACTCTCTAAATAGAAGAGATCGTGACTTGGCCCCATTTCATAGGTGGGAAGGCTAAACAAAGCACTTAGGTTAGTGGCTAGTTGAAGGTCTCACAACGGAAATCAGTGAGAGTCTTTCTCTGGTTTTATTCTCAAATTTGGGGGCAGATTTTCCTTGATGTTTATTTTTAGTCTCTGGCCTCTTATCCAACCTATCCTAAAGCTCCATTGCACACTAGCACTGTAATTCAAGTGCACCTTGGTTTTTCTTCTGTTTTTGTTAACCTATATTAATAGTCTTGATGTAGCTGGGGAATTGGATGGGCATATCTTAAAATAAAATTTAAAAATAAACCTTATTATTCCTTCAGTCTTGGAGGTGGAACATTCCTAGGCCTATGTTGCTTGCTGACTGGTTGTGAGACCTTTGAAGAAGCTCTGGAAATGGCAGCTAAAGGCGACA